AGAAAGTAAGAGGGCTGGAGACACCAAATTCACTGGGTGTGTTGACCTGTATGCAAACTCACTTTTGTCAGAATTCGAGGTCTCTAGATCATGACATTCTAGGTCAAATCAGGTCAAGCATGGCCCATCTTCAGGTTGGTGTCCAAAGGTCCCCCAGAACCTATTCACCTGTTCTGAGCAAAAGGCCACGCGCTCATTTGAGGTCGGTGACCTTGTTTGACCTTTTTCAGGTTATGATCAAAATCATGCAAGAGTGTTTTGATTCTTGCATTGAATAGCGTTCAGGATTACGCTGGACAGCATGTTCCTTAAAAAACAAAGGCTGCTCCGGGTCATTTTAGGTCAGTGGCCCTATTACGACGTTTCAGAAGTTCATGAAAAATTCATTGTTCGGTTCCTGTTGATAAATTCAAAATGAGTATAAAAAACTACGCCGCATGGCTAAACCCTATGGCAGCAAAGCAGGTTGGTTTTAACCTTGGTCTGACCTTCATACCCGGACGCTGGTCACTGGGATTTCTCCGTTCAATTGTTGTATTGCCTTAGAAGCGATCTCAGAGATGTGTGGCTTCGTCTAACATTCTGTTGTTGCGTCAGATGGAACGATTCCCTAGAAATTGTCTTTGCTGAATCCATGGCCTGACTGACCTGCCATAGGTCAGCGACCTGACAAGATACTTCCAAATTTTGGACACCAAACGATCCGCTATCCAGTTGTCTATGGCCATGACAAATTTGGCGCGGTTACGCCGCGCCGTTCGTAAACCATTCCGGATAACCTTCGGGGGTCAAATTGACCCTCCCATCCACCCGGACGCGCGTTTATATATCTGTGGTCTGTTATCCCTCACTGGATGCTTCCTGTACCCGCCAGTCCACATTGCACCCGTTTGTTCATCGAAAATAGTCGTTTTCGCCAGGGGCCGCCGACCCCTGTGGCGGCCGGCTGGTGCCGCCCCGCGCTGTCCGCTGGCTAACAGGAGCGCCCTCGCCTCCCGAGGCCGGTGTGGCAGCGCCCGGTGCACGGTAATCGAGGCGGGCCGCTCGCTAACAGGAGCGCCCTCGCCTCCCGAAGCCGGTGTGGCAGCGCCCGGTGCACGGTAATCGAGGCGGGCCGCTCGCTAACAGGAGCACCCTCGCCTCCCGAAGCCGGTTGTGGCAGCGCCCGGTGCATGGTAACCGTGGCGGACCGGACGGCCGTCTGCCTTCGGCTCGTGTTGACAGTGCGCTCTCGTGTCGGGCACCCCGGAGGACGGCGCAGGCCATAAATTATCGGCGACTAATTGCGCGCGAAGGGGACGCCCTGGCCGGCCGGGCGCGCCTGGTCTCCCCTAATGTCCCGCCATTCCTGCCGTGTCGCCGCGGCCGAGTACTGGACGCCTGGTCGGGGTCCCTCAGTGGGGTGGGTCCTGCAGTGTTTAAGAGTGGAAAGGAACGCTGTGAGCGGATGACCGGGAAACTTTACACCCTCCCCCATGTTTCAGCTGCGCCATTTGTAACAGGCGGTGTCAGGGACTGTAACGCACGTCCAGCCAGCGTTGGATAACAGGATCAGAGGCCCTGATGGTTATGAGGCTCATGTTGTAACGATTGCTCCTTGAATCAAGCGCTGATCGCTAGCGGTTGATTTCTGGTGTTAATTGAATTCCCAGAGCCTGCAATCAAGTTCCTAGTATGGGAATCGATGCGCCTGCGATGACTAGGGCGCACACAAGCCATATATATCGAGGAGCTTGGCAACGCGCGTCGAGCATAGCTACCAGTCTTGTGCTTACGCACTTATGTAGTGATTTAGCTGTCATGGGCGTAAAATGAGCTAAGTAGTCGGCTCGCCCTGAAATCCCAATCAACAATATCAATCAACAACGGTCAGCTCCTTGCGGCGTAGCGGTATCAGGCTCCGGAATGCTTTGTCGGCCGAATATGAGAGCAGAACTCCAGGGGTTCGCGCGGTCAGGGCAGCGCGCCCGGGGCCAGCTGGGAACCCGGCCTCGCTCAGGCGAACACCGGTGAGGGTGAGTCGAGTAAAAAATCGTAGACCACACCAACTCCCATCCACGTACTGAAATGATCCTCTTTATCCCATACCTGGTTCCAGCGTTCGTAGGGCGGGACGAGTTTTTGGGGCTTCCACGCGCCTCTGCGGGCGCCTGGAAACAGAACACGCCCTCAGAAGTCGGCACCGCCTGTGTGATTCGAGCGCGTAGCGGCAGGCGGCGGGCGGAGCCGCTCAGATCCTGCGGCTGGTCTCAGCCCGGTCTTGTCGACGCCGAGACTGTCCGGGGGAGAGTCCGGTGCCGACACCGCCCCGGGGTCGGGCACCTTGTCCCGAGGCTGCTTCCCAAGTTAGCCGAGTCTCAATCGCCGTTGTAAAGAAAGCAAATATCACGGCACATTACGACTTGCTAACGTAATCAAACACTGCACAATAAAGTCCTGTCCCCTGGGAACGTACCGTTTCGAGCAACGGCGAATTTTGTCGTTACCTTATATACCTACCTTACCTTATATACCCAATTGGATAGTCGAATAGGCTCGTCAGTCAACAGATCACGGTCTATCCTGAGGCGTACACTGCCACAGCTCGCACGGTAGGCAGCCTGCGGACTGGAGTCCTCAGTCGGGTGACAGTGATCGGCCGCTGCAGAGCTGCGTTGCTGCGTTGTGCGTTGCTGCGCAGCTGCGCAGCTGCGTTGTGGGCGGAAACCAGGTCGCATATCGTAATGTGCCGTGATATTTGCTTTCTTTACATGGGCGGTTGTGATTCGGCTTAACTTGGGAGCCAGCCTCGGGGCGGGATGGGCCTTGTAGCCCTCAGGAGGTGGCCGCGGCCGGCAGCGGCGTGCTGACCGGCAGCCAGATGACCGGTGACCGGTGGCCGGCGGCGGCTCGTGGCGCCGCCCCGTCTGCCGCCTCCGCCAGGCCCAGGTGCTGCGCAGGTGGTCTGCGGCCCGGCCCGGCCCGGTCCGGTCCGGGACGTGCCACGTGGCTGTATCCCAGCACCAAGCGGCCGGTGGCCGTGAGGCGCCGGGCGGCGATCAGAAACGCGGACGACCCCACTCTAGAGCAGGGGCGGTGCCAGCCGGGACCCGACCGCACGTGGAACGGGCGCCGCGAATTGCGATCGGCGCTGTCGCCCGTCACTTCGTTCCCATTGCGACATGCAAAGCGATTGCAGTTCGAGTGGGATACAGTCCGACGACACGCGGCGTGAAACGTGGCCTGTTTCTGACCTGTTGCGCGACTAGAACGGCTGGTTCAGCCCACTTCGTTGGGTTTACGGCAGACAAGCCAGTTGTAAGCGAATGCTCCCATTCGGCGGGGTGGGGTGGGGGTAGGGAGGTCTGTCTGGAGCGAGTCGTTCGGCGTCGGGTCACGCCGGCGGAACGTGACGCTGTCCTGTAAGCGGTCCTCTCGTATGGCTATTGGGCTCTCAGTTGGCGAGGACGGGCGGCGGCTGTCGACTCCGCGTTGGAACCCGATGCCTGCCGGCCGCGGTGCTGCGCCGTGACACGAAATGTGGTCTGGAGGAGAGCTGCGCTGGAGTTGGCGTGGCGCCGATGTCAGCTCCGGAATGTTACATGATGGGGGGAAGATGGATTGAATGAATTTCGGAGACAAAGGTGTGGATATTAAGTGACCGCCGCAGTCGACACCCCCGAAAACCCCGATACTACTACGCCCAGTACACGCCATCCTGTGTACCCCCGCCCTGGAGATGTGGAAGTGACCAAAATGGCCACTTCTACCAGATTTGATGAATCACAAGCAAAATAAACACTTCATTACCGATCGGATTAGTCAATACAGTGGTTCTCACCACCGATTTTACGAAGTCGCTCACTATAATACCTACTTACGTCACCAAATACACCAAGGAAATGCCTAGAAAGAAAAGCTCACCAGAGTGGCTGAGCCTCCACCAAATGGGTGAAGCAAACCACCAAGATATAGTGGGAAATCAAAAATTTGCACCAGAGTATAGGAAATTCAGCCCACCAGTTAAATAACAACCGCATGTTAAACCAAACAAGCATCACATTAGGAATGGTTTGGGACACAGACGTCATTATTCACCTTGGAGTTGCGATGTAAGAGCGACTCGCTGACTAGCATTGAGTTTCGTACTTACCTACACATCCAGGGGCGTAACCAGCTGGTGGGTCGGGGGCGGGGCGGGCGGGGGGAGGGGGCGCAGGACACATCTTCCGCTAGGCCTTGAGCGACCTTCGGGATTATCACGGGCCCGATTGGAGGACCCTGAGGGCTGGCCGAGGAACGACCCGGGGCGGAGGCCGTGCCCTCAAAGGTCAGCCAAAGGGACTCGTCGCGCATGTGAGAGGGTCCCCCTAACGACAAAGGTGTCTTCTAAATCCGAGACCACCGATGCTGAACGGTTGGCTCTTAGTCGGCTTGAACACTGGAGTTCCATTTACGGAGCAGTGACATGGCCAGTGTCCGCATTTGTTACTGAAGGCCTCCTGCGTTGACCGGGACCCCTGGAACAAGGTGACTCGCTGTATCAAGGCTCAAAGTGATTTACAGGGGAGCCTGTGTCGGCAAGGGGCTCCTAGTCGACCAGAGACACATTTGCTGAAAAAGAACAGGACGGGAACGGGGAAGTGAGATAGCCATTTGCGTTGGTCGAGTTCCTCGTTGCCTGGCATGGAATGGAAATGTTCTCGGTGAAATGGTCCACAATGAGACAAAAGAAGGGTCTGGCCAGTCATGAACTTTACGACCGGACGGGGGCTGGCCCTTCAGGGCCTCTGATCTTAGTCAATTGTGGTGATTGTTGCCTTGCCCATGTCCCTGCCTTTGCCCTCGCCATTGCCCTTGCCGTTGCCGTTGCCCCTACCCTTGCCGTTGCCGTTGCCGTTGCCCTCGCCACTGCCCTTACCCTTGCCGTTGCCGTTGCCCTTGCCCTTGCACCCCTTGTCCGTGTCCTTGTCCTTGTCCTTGTCATTGCCCTTCCGCCCGTATCGGTGGTTGTAGCCCCCATGTCTGGTCGGTTACTATAGCAGATTTTAACTGGCAGCAATGGTGACGACTCAGCCTTTTGGTGATGAACTGGCCTTTCCGGCTGGCTTCTTCAGTTGATGATCAGGGTGTGATCAGGGTGTGTAATGGAATTGACCGTCCTGGTTGTCAAATTAATTTTGTTTCTGTTTTAATCGGAGCTATTCATTGCTTCTGCTTAAATTCTAACTGGGACTTTCACTCGCTCGGCCTCCTGACGTACAGGCATAGGTAAATTAAAATTGATTGGGAAGCGAGATAGAGAAGCGAGCGTAAAAGTAATGACCGCCTTTCGTTTCGACCTGGACAAGCCCTTGAAACGCAGCATGCGAAGGCAGCACCGCCAGGGCAACTTATGTTAAATTTGAGGAAGACGCTGGCGGTGGCATTGTCTCAGTGCCGTGCTCTGTTGACGTTGGTGTTGGCGAGGATCAGAGTACAGGGTCAGAGAGCAGCCAAACCGTTGTGGCCTGATATGTGCGGCAGGTGTACTCGCACCTAAATAACATGCATATGTTCTCCGAAGGACAGCACGTCAACACGTGCTCCGTTCGCCACGATCTTGGTAAATGGAGGGTACGGCCCAAGGGTGATGTGCTACCTGTCCAAGGTGGTTTGGTTGCTTTAAGTAGGTGACCATCTTTGGACCAGCCATGATGTCACCTAACTACTAGCAAACGAACGTCAATTGTAATAATCAAGCTTTCTTTGTGCGTAACAACGATGATAATATTGGGCCGATCAATTACACGCCGCTTAAAAAGCGTTTGCTATTTTGTCTCTACTGTGCGTCGTGGGTTTTCCTTCAACACTGGTGTCTAGTCTTATGCTTCAAAAACATGAAGTATAGCTTTTGCACTTGCTGTGGTGATGCTGAAATGTTTCTGCGGTGGAACGAATAGTGGTTGGCTTTTGACGTTTCTTGGAAATCGGTGTATGCTCGTAGATAACGTTTCCACAATAGACCATTTCGCCTCGGCCCGATTCCGTCCACGCACCTTCCGACCTTTCGCAGTACACGCAGTGCCTCTTGCAGGCAATACATTTTCCAATCGAGTCGCCGAAGCAACGAACGCTCATTACACTACCCCTTATTGTGGCCGGCGTGCCTGTGACCTTGATTCGTCCCTTTCAGACAACGGCTTGGTGGCTGTGCACGTGCGGCACGAGTCCTATACGGTGGAGCCCGCCTTCCCAGGCCCGATATGCGTGCTCTATGTGAAGGACCCCGCCGGCGTGCTGCACGTCTGTGTACCCATCCAGGAGTTCGGCTCCCAGGTGGAATAGTAAGTGCTGCCACCTATATGGCCGCCAGTGCTGCACCAATATGGCGGGTCATGTGGTCTCACGGGCGGCGGGGTTCCTGACAAAACTATGTAGACCATGTTGGTATGAGTTTGTGGTATAGATTTAGCATGTCTCAAGTTCGTCGGGTTGAATGAACGAAGGTCTTAATTACTAAGGTAAAGGATGCATGGGTTGAAGGCGGCATGGTGAAATGTTCGTCGGGAAATACTCAATAATGAAAATGTGTGCGTGCGCAAAAGTTCTAAATGGGGAAAGTCACAAAAGTTTCGTATGACGGGAGCCCGTACGAAAAGGTTTGTTGGCCGATATAATAAACAAGTACCCTAAGTTCTCGCACAAATGCTCGGCAGAGGTAAATGTGTGATAAAAGCATGTACGTGCGCAAAAGTTTGTATGCAGATGCACAATGTAAGTTCGCATATAGATCGTCCTTTGCATGGGGCCTCGGATGAAGTGTCACTGCGGGCCCGCGATACCGGAGGGCGGGGGTATGGGGGGGGGGGGAGGGGCGTGCGACCTTCCTCTGGCTGCGATCTTCCTCCTGTGGCTGTTCATCCGTGGTCGTTTGCGAATCGGGCCATGCGCCCGAATTTGACTCTCAAAGGATTTTTGGCGAATACGGTTCCTTCACGTATGTACCAAATATCATGTGCAAAGATTTGCTCACGAAGTTCGTTCATTGTGAATTCAGCCGTGGGTGTCAATATAATTTTTAAAACCCTTTGCTTAAACGACTTCTCCATGCGCTCCGTAAACCGATGCGAACATTTGCCCGTACAACGTTTAGGATGAGATTTTGCGTCTGTTTCGACACGTAACGAACTATTTAAAACATTCGCGTGCCAACAATTGCATTTTACGTATGCACGGTCTTTCCATATGAACATGCGGCGTGCTGTGTGCTGCCGCATGGGGCTGGCCGTGCGTGTGCTGCCATCTAGTGACGCGCTCTGCGATGTTCCCAGGTGGCGGCATCCGTCCGGGTCAAATTTTGGATTCCTCTTTCTACGCCCTCGACGGACAGTTTGCTTCGAATGGCAGGATGTTGGGGTTTCTTGTTTCGAAACAGGGTGATTTCTGGGCATCACAGGCAGTGGAGTAGGCAAGGGCACAGGAGCCCCCCCCCCCCTAATTCCTTAGATCCTGAGGTGCCCGAAAGGCCGCTCGCGACCAGCGAGGAAGTGCCCGATTTGAGAGCCCGGGGCCCGGGAGACCAAGGGCCACGCAGGAGCCGTGTTCCGGTTTTTTTTTTTAGCTGAGCGGGGCTTTCAAATGTCAATGAGAAGGCTCTTTGCGCCGATCCGGGGCCCTTGAGTCGAAGAGGGCTGCTTTAACGGTAACGTATCTCTAGCACCGAACAGTCGGCTCCGTATCGGTCCGAGCCTGAGGGCCCTGTTTCGAACGGGCACTGAACGGGCCCCGTTTCGGTTGGTGTTCACAGTTCCTAACAGCGGCCCCGAGTCGGCCAGGGGAATATTTGCTGAACAGGGTCGGGGACGGGACCCCAAATGCCAGAGGGCCTGTCGCGTTGGTCGGCACCCTCGGACAATGCGAGGGACTTAAAGAACGTACAGCGAGAGTCCACAATGAGACGATGGAATTGCCTGGTATCAAGGTCTCCAGTACCGAAGTGCAGTACTCTTCATCCAATCTCAGCCAGCGGCTCGGAAAGCCGAACTGGAGTCTTTTTGCTTATCACTGGACTGCACAGCTTCGAACAAATAATATTTTTGCCTCAAGAAAACCCTTACGTTCATCCGGAGCCAGTGGCTCGGATCAGAGGGCCTCCCGAGCCAGGGAGTTGCCCGATGCGCGGCTGATTCCTCTAAGGGCTTCTAGATCGACCAGGTGACCCCGCATCGCCAGCATGGCAGCCAGTTAGCGTCCTGCGTGGGACAGAACGGTCCTTCAGCCCCTGGCTGCGAAAGCTTATGTGTTCCCTAGTGCTTTTCAGGGCGCCGCTTGCCTGCAAAATGTATGGGGTTTCCATAGTGTTCAGTGAGATCAAAATAAGGTCAAATGAAAAGGGCCAACTCATATTGCAGGGGTACGTCTAGCCTTTTTTCAGAATCAAGATGAGAAACAAATCACGTTTTGTGCCAGCGCACTCGCAATCAGAGGGGGGGGGGGGGGGGGGTAAGGACACCGGTGACCGGGGCTGTGGTTTCCAACAAACCGAGCGGCGTTGGCCGCTGCATTGGACTGCGGTTGGCGCCGAGCGCGCGAGGACGGCCGTCGTGGAATAATGATTCCGAAAGTCGTTAAGCATCAATTCGCACCATTCAAAGATAAGCTGGATAAGCTGGGCGCCATTTGATCATTGCAGTCAGCGCGCCTCAAAGCCCGAATCATCATTATCATCCAAAGATAAGGCTAGGACGTGTATTTCACCTATACGATTTTGGGGTTTTCCTCTCAACAGATCGACAGTTTCAGCAGCACGAAAATAGAGACTCCGCCTTTACTTGATGATAGTGGCCGGGCCGACACTGCGCGGCCGATGGCTGCAGCACGGGACGTCAAGGTTTTGCTCATGTATACGAGCGCGCGTCGTCAGACCTATATTGCACAATTTTTCCCTACCCATTCTGAAGGCAGGTTGATCATTCCTGGACGATAATGAATAGGCCATGTTAATAAAAATGTGTGACTACAACTCCATCTACATTCGGTGCCTTTACGGCTTTCTCAATACCGCTGTATTGGGCGCCAAATGACCCCGGCGGTCGGAGCGTGGAATACGCCAATAAACAACACAAATATCGCTGCATGTTCCAGAAAAGTGCCGTCGAAGCCCCTGAGTGACATGTCCCCTGCTGAGATGAGTCGGCCGAACCGTTGTGAAGTGAAAAGCACCTCCGGGCTGCTGTCGGCCTGGTTCCGTCAGTTAATGATTGCAAACTGAAAAGATTAACATCTTCCGGCGTCCTTTTGCTTCTGTTTCAGTGAGCGAAAATAATTTTAAAAATCGAGTCATGCCCTCTTGAAATCCAGTGCGTTATCCAGTGTTCTTGTGTTCGTGGCGGGGGGTGGGGGGTGGGGGCGAAGGCGGATCGAGAATGTCTTTCACCAGCAGGGCCTTTTGTCAACCCTGTACGCCTCCCCTTCCTCCCCCGGCTGCGGCCCCTTCACCAAGACTGACCGCGCCCCTGATCATATGACTTCGCGTTTCAAGCAAAGTTCCCGGGGTTGGAACTGAAAAGTGCAAATGCCGCCGCTCCTGTAATGGAAGTGGTTCAGTAACGGACACAAACGTAAGCGGAACACATGGGGCTACCCATAACATGCACTACTGGCGAAAGTAAGCCGATGTAAGCAGAACTAGAGCTAAGAAGCGGCGAGATGATTAGATAAACGTAGCGTCTGTTGAGCGGTTCCACGGACAGCTGCCGTGTCATCGCGGAACTCTGTAACTGGGTTGGGGAAGGTTGGCTTGTGTGGGAGGCCCGGCGATGATACAATCTAATGCGGTCGCCACCCTGACCGCAGCCTTTTCTAGGCGTTGTGCCATCGTTAAGTAGATATGTCAGAGCTAGTGGTGCCGCCGTTTGAGAAAACCGGCCGCCCGAAGACAGCGAGTCACGTTTGGCCAGGGAATCGTCAAGCGGGAGTGCCACCGCGTGCCTCACCCCGAGCGCGCCGAAGGATCTCGAGCGCTCCTATTTGCATATTTTGACGCACAGTGCGATGTCTCATCCTCGGTATCTTCCGGTATCCTCACTTCTGTTTTTTTCCCTTTTCACACGAAGCCATTTGGCCATATGAACGAGGAAGTAGGAAGCGGCGATATGTATGCAGAGTAAACTGACTGGATGTTGAATGCGAGGGCCGCCCGAGAGCAAAACGGGGGAAGGGGAAGAGCAAATGCTTCGTGATATTTTTCCAGCATAAGCTATTTATTGCCATCTTCCATCGTCCTTTGCGGACTTTGGGGTTGATTTGGACGTTGCAGCAAAGGGGCCTAGAATGACGTCGGGAAAGTGGCCAAGGCCCTCTAAGGAGATACCGAAAATCGTTGACCATCAGAGCTAGTACAGAGTAGTTTTGTTCAAAACTGCCATTACCTCACTCGTTTGAGGGCCCAAATAACACCAATTTTACGAGTGCCTGTGAAGGGTCATGCCGTACGCTGTGATAAGTTGTGATAAACTTTGTGGTAAAATGACGTGGTCGTTTTGAAAGGTGTGCCAAAGTCCATTTAAGTGATTTTTCAAAAAGCAGTTATCGAATGAATGAACGATGGCTGTAATGGATGAGCGAATGATGCATGGCTCTGAATGCTTTCCTTTACTGTTTCATGTTGCGAGGAATAATGCAGTCATGGCCATCTTGTAATTGTGCTTATCTAAAGGGGTGCATTGTTCAAAGTACTTCCACCTTGCGTTACTTCCTTCCGTTGCGTGTCGCGCCGTGGCTTTCCCGCGCGGAGCTGGAGGGAGAGGGGGCTCGGGCCCGCTGTGGTTTACCGTGGTGTCGCAGGCCGCGGGTACACATCGGTACATATGTCCAGTCGGGTCCAGTCGGGTCCGAGCTGGAGATGGCATCCGCCTACAGTTCTTCGTTGTCATCGTCATTTCAGACTGTCCCAAGCGTATCAGTTGATCTGACTGTCCCGGACGCCATACTGCCATACTCGTATCAGTTGACCTGACTGTCCCGGAAGCCATACCCGTATCAACTTGATTGCCCCGGACGCCATACACGTATCAGCTGACCTGACTGTCCCGGACGGCATACTCGTATCAACATGATCGCCCCGGACGCTGCACACGTATCAGATGGCCCGATTGCCCCGGACGCTACACACGTATCAGATTGCCTGGTTGCCCCGGACGCCATACTCGTTTCAGCTGACCTGACTGTCCCAGACACCATACTCGTATCAGTTAGCATGATTGCCCCGGACGCTATACACGTATGAGATGGCCTGATCGTACCGGACGCCACACTCGTATCAACCTGATTGCCCCGGACGCTA